AAATTGAAACGACCTTAGTTGAAAAAGACTACGTTTTTACGTGCAAACCGAGAGTCATAATGTACGTACATTTTTCAGCAGAGCAATAAATTAATCGATTTAGGCATACTCAAGTTGTACGACACTCGGGCTTGAATGGCCCTTTTATGTCGTTTTGACACACAAGTTAGTACATGACCAAGATAAAAAGATCGAGATTTTGTAAAACACAGTTGTTGGTGGACTCTTATTACTTATTGATCTACTTACTTTTTAACTATAATTTTCTAAACTATGTGTGGACAAACCAATACACCATATATACACAACCAAAAATTGATCTCACGCAAAAAAAATGAATGGCTACACTTCTTACTGCGTTGAAAATAGAAGACGTTCCTGCGAAAAGAAGAAACGTACAATACAATAGTCGGGAATTGATTTACGGAAATCAACTTTTTTCTTGCTATACGCACACTTTGAAGCGAGCCAATTTTTAGTCTTGCAACACCGACGCAATTAAAAATAACGCTGGTCTATAAATTCGCGTTACGCGTGTACACGCCAACTATATATACGATAGGATCAACCCGAAAACAAAACAAAAAAAAAATACTCGCCAAACAACGAGCATTCAATTAACAAGCGTTAACGCGCCAGATCCATCAAATTGCAAGACTCCCCGTTACGCTTCAAAAACCATAAGTACATCCTCGTTCGCCTTTCATGTTAACAATGGCACACAGACTACATAATGTATATACTTATGGCCAGGAGAACTCTGCTGGAAACGAAGGAGACAAAAAATGAAAAGCCGAACTTGAGCTACGGTAGAAAAACAATAATTTAGGTGCCACTCCGTTTGTACGTATATCTACGCGAGCGTAAGTACGTGCCATATGTTCACGCGTTAAATAGAGCTCGCGGGCGAGTCACTCTGGCCAAGCGTGATACGGCATCGGCGACGGTGCGCTGCAACGCGTCCGGAAATCGTGCACAGGCAAGCGATTATATATTTATGTTCGCGCTTACTCTCACTTTTCGTACACCGCGCTTGGGAAAGTTGGCGCTATAATTATAATGGACGTTAAGTAATCGGCCTACTCGTGTATGTGTGTGTGTGTTTTGACGCGTCGGGAAAATCTTTGCTGCTAATTTAATCTATCGCGCTGTAACAACGATGGAGATAAAAGTTTCGGGCCTCTCGTGTCCGTGTAACGTGGGGCTCGTTAATACAATTTTGCCCTCGTCTCTCTGTCCCGCGTTTGTATATGGCTGTCCCCTTTTTTAAGCATTGTAACGTGTATTATATATATATACATGTGTGATGTTTTTGCGCGCGCTTTCAAAGGACAATCATGGAAAAATATTACTTTTTGCCCGTCAACAGAGCCATTTATTCATGGAGATTCGATATTAAATTATGTTGAATAATTGCGTCGTTGTACGTTTAATGACTTTCCTAATGAGCCTCGAGCCTTTTTTTTTGTTTCACGGAACAACAATGCGCTCATTTGTCGGTGTGTATTATAACGAGAGGGGTTATTTTATCATGTCGTTGCCTCTGTTCCGAGAGACGCTACATTAGGTGAGATTAGGACCGATTCAGCGTAATTTTTTCTTTTTCTTTTTCATGTCCCACTCTTTAAACGCGTTTCCACGACTTTTACGTTCCCAGAGAGTCTCGAGAGAGAGAGAGAGAGAGAGAGAGAGAGATCGAGCAGAGACATCGGAGATCTAATTAAAGAAACTCCAATTAAAAGAGTCGTTACAATCCAAGCACAGTTTAACGTGAAACGAGTATATTATTTTATTTTCTCCCAAAGAAATCGCGATCACTGTACACGCAGGAGGTGCGAAAAAAAAAATTAAAACGATCGTTTCGACGCGATAAAGTTTCGCTCGCTCCGTAAAAACATCTCGTAAGAGCCTCCTCGCGCGCTCCAACCGAGAAATCGGTAATAAAGCTATATGATATTACTGAATACGGAACAGTCTGTAGCTGATTTTCGAGATGTCACAACTGCAAGCGAGTATACACGAGATCAAAAAAGAGTAAAATAGAAGGGGTGGACTAGTAGGATCGATACACGGCCTCCACTCGTACCTACCCTCCGCAACAACAACCCTCCCTGTGGATTAACACGTCTCGCTCGCTAAGCAGGCGCACTGCATACAACGTCAGCGATAAGGTAAAATCGAGGGAAGGAGCCCGCAGTTTAGGCGAAGAGCCCTACGTATATACAATACGTACAACATTTGCACGAGAAAGGAGAAAGACTACAGCACATGTATGTGTACAAGGAGAGAGCGTCGCCGATCGGCTAAGTAGAGGTGCATTATTGCGCGAAAAGGTGTTGTGCACGGTGTGGCGTGCCGGGTACGGCTTCTTCGCACGACAGGCCAATAAAACGAGCTTGCCGCTCGTATATACCTGTATGTATACTCTTATACCTGCAGCCGCGGAGAAAGAAGAAGGAGCGCGTCCGTAAAATGCTAATTCGGCCGCGCCGATTATTCTAACGCGTTTCCAAACGGACTTGGCTCGGGCTGCCTTTCCGGGATGTACCTGTATACGCCCGTAACGTCTACTCGGGAGTTTCTTCATCTAACGGTGATGCGCAGTGCGTGCGGGGGTGCAATCAAGGTTTTTTTTTTTCTTTCTTCCTTGAACTCTTTTTGACACTTTTCTTCATCCGTCGAAATCTCGCGTACTTACATGTATACCTATACGTACATAGAGTATAGGTTCAATAAAACTCGGCGCTCATCCGTTTCCCCCTTTTTTTTCGATGAATAAAGAGGAAAGAAACAAAGAACCCAGGAGTATACGTATTTTTTTTTTTTTTTTTTTTTTTTGCGCAATTAACTGGCGTAATCGCGATGCCAAAGCGCGATTTTCTCCCGGGTTTCGTCGCGGCAATTTTCGCGTTACATGCGTGCGCCGTCGTTAAATCTCGAGCGTGAAATCTCGCGGCGCCGCAGGTTGTAGTATTGCACGTCGTCGTCGTGTGATATACCTATACGTACACACACAGGCACTGCCGCCACAGCGAGATAATTAATTGGCCCGATGATGAAGTAATTTTGCGGCGCTGTACAGGGGGAGCTGGGGCGTGTATCAAAATGCGGCGATAATGCGATTGTAATGATAATCGAGGAATATTTTGCACCCATATAGGCAGTCGTTATTTGTACCGTATCTGCTGTGTGCGTACAAGATCGATGTTGATTTTTTTTTTTTGAACATGGAATCACAGAAATCGGATGAGGAATATTTTCACGCCTTGGCCCATAACGAAAGGTATATATTATGTCGGTTTATATGTTTGAAAAGGTAGTATCTTGTAAAAATCAATTGATTTCTCGCTCCTTTTTTTCCCCAACAGTTGGTTGTAGAGAAATCTTTGTAGATATCGGTCGAAAATGTCATTGTCTTAAAATTTATCATCATCGAATCGAATACATTGTAGTACATCCTCGCGTATTACGTATTGCACGTCGCTCGGTATGGTTGGCTGTCCAAATTCTAAATAAATACTTATATCAAACAAATAATCAGAGACTAACTTTTTGAAACTCGAAATCAAAGTATCTCGCTTCTTGCATGATACATTTGAAATTTAACAAAAAGAAAACAAGTGTTCACGTTGCTAATACGTATTTCGTTGCAATTTGTGTTTTTTTTTTTACATTTTTATTACCAACTAGGCCACCTACATGAGCTGCACGGTTGAAAAATGTTTTTCCACAGATGGCAAGCCAAGACAAACGCAATTAAAAACAAACAAAGCAACCCCATCGAGAAACAATTTCCATGGTTGGCGCGTCAAAAGTTTCACGACAAAAATGACAAAGTACCGGTACGAAAGTCCACAGAAAGGCAGCGAATCAAAGCGCAAATAACAAAGCGAAAGGTCAGGCCTGTATAATCGAAACGGAACAGCGCCGCGGCAGAAAAGTGTCTCCGCGAGCGTTACCCGCACAACAAAGGCGGGGACGAGGAAATAAACGATCTCCCAGCGGGTGCAGGCCCCATTCTATCACCTGTCCGCGCAACACCCCCTCCTCTCGCTCTCTCTGATTAATCCACTCGCGTTTTACTCTTCCAAAAGGATAAGACGCGCCGCTTGCCATCCATCTCTCCTCCCGCCTCTTCCCTCGTGGACTGTGCAAAGAAAAGCTGTAATTAAATCAAGTGACCGCAGCTTCATTGTATCGCGTTTTTCGCGAAATCGGCGCGTACTTACCCTCCGATAATCCTCATCGACTTCTGGGCAAAAAAATCGACCGCAGCTATACGCATGTATGTATACTTGTTTGATTCGCGTGCAATCTCATCGACTACTGCGACTGCAAAAAGTGGAGATATCAATCATGCGGCTCTCTTATCCGCACCCCTCGGCCCCGGCACTCCACACGCGTGTATACATATACATGTAGCAGCCCCTCGACAACTGCGGCCAATCGAGAGAGTTATTCGCCTTTTCCGCTCCCCCCAGCTCCCCGTTCGTATATTAAGCGGGCAAATATATGCAAGCTTATAAATATAGCGCAGTGCGAGGTGTGCGCGCACGCGTAATTACCATTGTACGAGGCAGCCAGTTCTGGTGTATATGTATAGGCGCTGCTCTCGAAATTGAATCTTTATATAATGTACGTGTGCACCGCGATAATGTGTGGGAACACGAGTGCGTATAAATATACGTATAGGTATAAACTACCGGTTGGCCGGTACCCGCTTCGGATTTATACTTGCGCGTGCACGGGATGGAAATTGCGAGTTTCTGCGATTTGTCATTTGGAGTTTGTTTCACCTTTTTTTTCCATGCGTTCGCTTGGAGATTGGTGGAGGATTTGATCGATTTAGCAGAGGCGGTTGGTTTACGATACAAGGAAAATTGTTAATCATACGTTATTCTAGCTTAAGTGTACCGTGAAGGGATATCGAAAGGAAACAAACGATCGTGGGAAATCGAGACCTCGAATGTTCTTTAACAATGTTTTTTTTCGTCGATTACAGGGTGTATATTTACATTTGATATTTACACTTGAAGTTTTCTACGACAAATTAATTTACCTGTACATGTATAATGTATAGATTTATATGTACAAATCGTGGAGTGGAGTTCCATCATATTTCCATCGAGATACTCACACTCTAACGGAATCATTATAAACTTACCACTTTGCTCGTATATAAACGGTAAAACGAGTGGGACCCCGAACTAAAAATTGTCAAGATAAAACAATTGTCGAGACACATGTGTACCAAGTCATAAAAATAAGCAGTACTAATCAAGAGTACTGAATTTCAATAGAAAATATAGTCACAAAAAAAAAAGAAACGACGCGTGTTGAAAGAAAAAGAGAAGCTGATAAAAATTCAGAGATATGCAGCGACCCATTGTACACATCTACGTGTGTATACGTTTCTTCTTATTCACGGGCTCGAGTCCACTGTCGTACTCCGAGGTGTTGAGCATGAGCACCTTCTTCAGCATACCGTTCCTTTTGTCCTGCTGATGTTTCTGCTGCTGTCCAGGACTACGACTCTGTGCCCTCTCCTCGGCCCTGAAACAAGTAAAAGAAAAAAAAAAAATTGAGCAAAAATTAAAAGCAAGGCGCAACGCCCTAAATGCAGCATTAGGGCCCCGCAAGCCGCTATTTTTGCGAGACGACGTGTGTCCCGGCCTAATGGGAAATTGACAAAAAATCCCCAGCGCTGCGCCCACCACAGTAGGGTGTTTAGAAGAGGAATTAACAAAAAAAAGCAAAACGCGAGAGAAGAGGGACCATACTGTAACAACTGGCGTGTCGAATCACCTCCCTTTCTTTCTCCTCTGCGCAAACTTTTTCTACCTACTTTTTTTCCTCACCCTCTTGTTCTTCTTCGAGGAGCGCATTTCACGCCGAGACGCACCGCTCTGTATATATAATATACATATATGTATACGTGTAAACTCCGTTGCTGCACGTATGTTCTCGTGAGAGTGTGGCCAGCCGCCTCCCTTTTTATTATTTTTCTTATTCTACGTCGCTGTATGGGCACAAGCAGGTAAGTGCTGCGCTAACCGATGATTATATCACGAGAAGGTCGTGCGCATATCGATATGCCGAATGCACGGACAGGGAGAAAGGAAGATTCGCGGAAGAGTGCGAGCTGGTGTTACTTGTTCGCGTTTCTTTAGTGGTTTTCAGGCCAATGATACCGCTCGATCTAGCTGATAAGTCGATAATAAGGGTTTTTTCACTCAACGAAGCATATATGATTTCTCTGACCAATGTTGCTCCGAGTAATTTTGAGTTGTTTTCGAGTGGAGAAAAGTCATTGACGAGAATCATCAAACTTCGTTACCTTCAAAGTCTTTGATAAATATCAAGGATGTAGAGCTGCTTCATTTCAGCTTGAACGATAAGTCTCCGTCAATTGAGATTTTGGAGGTAAAACTTTAAAATAGTAATTCAATTAAATTATTTTAATGACAAGAAGGTGAATACTTATACAATTTATAATGCTTATAACGTCGGTGGTAAGATTTTTTCAGATTTGATCCATTTATTGGAAAATTTCTTGATATAGATTTTATCGAACGGCAAGTGTTGCGATTGAATTCAATAAATGGCAATGGATGAAAATGTTTGTATAACGTTTATTAAAATTTATCTCGCGGTAAAAGAGTAAAAAAAAAACTAGCGTTGAACAATAATATGAATAAATTCCAGAAATCAAAGAACATCTCGATGAAAAAACAAAAAACACCACCTCCCTCGTGCCGTCAGGGTTTGGCAACGTCTCGCGTCACGTGTTCCGGCAAAACCCCTCATCCCCCGGAAATAATTCCAACAATACCGCGACATTGCATTATCGCTCGCACACACCGCAACTCCGTGCCTCGCATGCACGTACCTATAATGTCCACTTACACGCCCGATGTTATTTATGTACATTATACAACGACCGAGATATTCTCGCATCGGGTGCGCGCGATGTATCGACGCGCACCTGTCCGCTCGCGCCACCTGCTGAGAAGTGCCGGCTAAAAGAGAGAGAAAGGCGCGGCTGTTGTGTATATACTTATATACAGTAGTGCAAAACTCTCGCCCATATACTTGTATATATATATGTATACCCACACGTCCTCGAGTACACGAGAATATATTAAAATCCAGGGCTGCAGTGCCGGTGTGCTTACGAAGCGCGCACGCGAACACGTCTTTTTGCCCGCATGGCGTGTAATGTGCATGGATTTGGGTCGAGTTATTGTAAATGCTCGGAAATCGGCGTGCATATACATATATACGTTTTTCAATGGGCATTAATTGTTTGATTCCGCGAATATTTACCGAGTCGCTGAGGATTTTCGTCTGTGGGGCTTATCGATGTCGATTACGGGCAAACTGAGCAAAACAATTTTTTTACTTTATTTGTCAGGAAAATGCACTGAATCTCGGTGTTGATGTAATTTATCAACCAGATTTACTTAAATGAAGGCTAAGAGAAAGCTCTACGTAGGGTGACAAATTTTTTTTTTATTTGCGAAACGATTTATAAACGATTCCACACAAGTTACGAGGATTTTAAGCTCTTTTGTTGTTTAACAACAATCGAAGGATCAATATATTGTGCAAAGGAATGCGAATTTTACGTTGATTTCCGTTTTTTTACTTTAAACCCTTGTAACTATATTTAATTGAAAAAAAAAAATTGAAAAGATTTCTTCGTGAACTACAAACCAATATATTCAATAAACCACCAATTTATTGTGATAATCTGATTGACTTGCTATTAACTACCACTGGCATGAAAAAAAAAAAAAAAAAATTACGACTGCCCAACACGAAGCAGCAAAATAATACAAATAAGTTCCAGCTGTCGATTATATGAGCACGCATCGACAAATCAGAAATATTCACGCAGATGGTGCGAGAGTAGGTACATTTTTGATGTACCTACACTATAACACCACAGAGAGAGAGAGAGGTGAGAAGGAGAGCTATATACATATACAGGATCCCGGCAACATATACATAAGCGATCAAACACTCATACATGAAAGGAGCACAGACGAAGGGGGAGTATACAAGGGGAGGAGGCATTATAGGGTAATCGCGCGCTTGGAATGGCTCGGCCTCTCGACTCATTGGACCGTCACCAGCCCGCCTTTCACCCATTAAAAGTGTAGGTACCCGTACATATATACGCACTCGTCAACTTGCCGGTTACTGGTGTAGGATGTACAAATGTATATATACATACATACACCATGTACACGGTAAACCTATACTTATATACCTATATACCGAGGCCGTGGCAGCAGCCACATCCCGCTCCTCTCTCTTTGCCCGCGCTTCCTTTTAGTTTTCGCACGCCCACGCACCACAACGCACTTCCCCGACACTGGCTGCGATCATAATATATAATATGTATACTTAGTACGAAAACTCAAAAGCGCACTTGTTTCGATCATATTTTTTATTGTTTTTTCTCCTTTAATCGATGAATTGTTACACGATTGTCATCGTCAAATTGAATGCTCTAAACATAAATATGTAATGATCGCGTTATCAGCACTTTCAGTTTTTAGGGAACACGTATAAAAAAAATTTGATGTCGATGGTACACGTTTTCAAGTATGGATAATGTCGAATCGTTGTAATTACAAGAGTGATGTGTGCATGGTAATCTCGACGCCGGTAGCTCAGAAGTTTATTCAATGAAGAGTCGCGGGTACACAGCTTTTTTTTTTTTTTTTTTTTTTCATAAACGCGACACTCGTTAAGAAATACGCTTATCGTAATTATATTCTTTTGAGGATAAAAAAAGTAAACATCACTCTCTGTATCTTTTTATTTTATTTTTTTCTTTAATAACTGTTATACGGTAATCTACCACCAAATAAGAGAAAAATTAGGAAATTCAAGGTGATCAGTGATCAGTCCGAAGAGAAAAATTAATTAAACCAATCAATCAATGACGAGTAGGCTGTAACATACTTTGAGTGCAGTAAAACAACAACAACAGCCAATCGCGTTTTGTAAACGACACATTAAACATTGAAGTTGTTTTTGTTTTCTTTTATTGCGACAAAAAGAACAAAGAGGCTACTGTCGAAATTCAGTTTGCGGATATTCGTGAAACTCTGCCAATCAACGGTAAATTGCCCCCATCAGGATCCGCCATCGCACAGTGAGATTTTTCACGTAACGCGGCCAGTCGGGCGCGAGCAAAAGCCTCGATAGGCCAAAAGAGCCGCTCGTTGACACGGAAAAATTTAAATCAACGCGCCACCACCCCCGTGCCCTGGTAAAAAAAAAAGCACCGATCGTTGAACCGACAGTCAAATTATCCTTTGAAAAAAAAAAAAAAAAAAACCATCGCCATTAGCGACAATGGTTCGAATTGGAGATTTCTCGCCACCTGCGATTTCGTACAGTGCAGGTGTCTCTGCCCACATGGAGCCCATCGGCTGGAGCGACGCTGTCATGTTGCTCGTCCGTATATGTATAATATGCACTAAGTGACGTGGGGCAGGCGTCCCGACTCTTGCGGCCGGAAGTGGTGGTCGCTCAGCCTGTTTAATAGCTGGTGTATTGTACAATTATGAACAATGGGCAGAGTGTAGTCGAGCAGGAAAGGCATGAAGAGAGAGAGAGAGAGAGAAGGTGATGTACGTACGAGTGCAGCACGTGAAGTGCACACCAGAGAGAGAGAGAGCACGTTATATAGGCGCACGGTAAGAGGGCGCGTGTCCTATTCGTAACGTGTGCCTCTCCGAGGGAGGACCAGAGTGATGCGTTATGTGAGTCTTAGTGATGGTGGAGATATTTATGGGATGGGACGTCGCGTTGTGACGGATGGACGCGAGCTGTAGCGGCAGCAGCCGTGCCATCGGACAGTTTTGACGTTGCTTGGGCCTCGCTTCGGTACGCTCGATGCGTATATATACAACTACGGGCACAAGGTTACAGTGCTGCTGGTGCCGTCGAGGATGCTAATGCGACGTCCATCTGACTGATGTAAATGCTGAACTTGTCGCGTCACATTGTACGAGTACAAGTACATGGGCGACGAAGTTTTTGTTTTACAGATTTTTTTTGAACGCACACGACACTATTAAAATGCTACGAGTGTGATTTGGAGTTTTCGTTCCGAAGCACTGCCTAAAATATATGAGGTGACATTTCATTACGATCCGTTACAGAAATTTTTATACAACTGCAGTTAACGAGTTAAATTCTCGGTTTTTTCATCAAAACATCCAAAAATCAAAGGAAACAATGGTAGAACAAAAACGTAATCACATTGCAAGTTTAATTAAATTGCAATATTTAAAAAAGTCATGGCAATCATAGTGCCAATCAACTTTTGGCGCTCTTTTATCCATTGAAAAAAAAAAAAAAAAAAAAAAAAAAAAAATTCAATCGTACAAGATAAATTATTTAATCACCACAAGGGATAATGAGCAAAAGTAATCTCCCATCACGGCGATTAGCCGATCGATTGATAGCTTAATCGACAGAATTTCATACCCGAGAGGCATCAAACCTTTCAAAAAAAAAAAAAATGCACAGATCCTCCACGTTAAATTCACACAGGGTATGAAAAAAAAAAAAAAAAAAAAAAAAAGAACACACCGCATCGGTAAGTATATATGCGGTATAGAAGAGCCGCGGGAAGGAAACAAAGTGAGCACGCAGCTTGCAAAAGTTGCGCAACCTTTTCCCCATTAGCGTGCAGGCTGTGCGAGGTTGTTGCTGCCATTTTCTCTCTCTCCACGTTCACGTAAACGCGTGGATTTTCCGAGAGAGTAGCATCCAGCAGCAGCAGCCATGCAGCGCAGGTACAATGTACGGTGCACAAAACTCGGCACGCACGGACGCGAAGCCACGCGTGAATCCGTCATTAATGAGCCGCCGGCGGCAGTGTATAGGCGGAGCGGACACCGACTCTTTCATGTATATACACACGAATGGATGCAACGAATGCACATAGGTACGCGAAAATCGCGCTTTTTTATTCACCGTACGGGCGTTACGAGCTGCATTGTGTTCGACTTTTGGTTTCCGTTTCGCAATAGCGAGCCATCAGAGAGAGAGAGCTACCATGGCGTGACAATGGGCGGTTTCGACCGCCTAATTGACGGACGCTTATTTGCCAGCGAGTTTACGTAAACGTACTTTAGACCAGTGCAGCACAACGCCGGTGACGCTCGTCTTCTATTTTTAGAAATAACACCTGTCATTTCTACGTGACGCCTGGCGTTCGTATGAATATTCGGCGAAACTGCATTTAATCCCTTTAAAATTAGTTTTTTGGAGAGTACACAATTATCTTAAACGTTTGTTTTAATCCAATCACATCGACACGAGTGCTCTGCAAATTTTCAGGAAACAAAAATCTTCCGATACGTTAGCCAAGTTCGTATACACCACAACCACCACGAGCAACGACAAAAAAAAAAAAGGACAATATGAAAAAAGAAGGAAAAAAAAAATATACCACTCACCTCTGATTGGACAGCCTGTTCTGATGTCTGGGCGCCTCGTCCTTATCCTGTGCGGCTTTGCCGGCTCCGCCGATTTTTTGCGGTGGATCCCTCAGCGCGAAACTCTTCGCGTAGTGACCCAGATGGAGGTCCTTCCGGTTGAAGACTTCGCGCATCTCGCGAGGATAGCTCGAGTAGAAGCGCACCCAGGACGTGTAGGCTGGAAAATTAATATTAAAACACTGTGTGAGCGAATGTAGGTATGAGGTATATTTATCAATGGATTTTATTGTTGCTGCTGCGATGTTCATTCTTCAAGCCAAAGTACCGTCGGGTTGATGTAAAAATTTTGAAAAAAAAGGTTGAATTTTAGGATATTGTAAGGGGTTACTCCACAGACCGTGTAAATACATACGTGGACCCGACCAAGTTGTTATTATGAATGGCATTGACCAACAGTTCGTAAGAAAAAAAAAAAAAAAAAAAAAAAAAAAAAAAAAAAAAAAAAAAAAAAAAGAGACGATTCCTCGACATTTATACGGTGCCATCGATTAAACGCTGAAGCGGTGGCAATTGCAGCCAACCTCGACCAGCGGGAGAACGAGCCCTCCCACACGACACGACTACGCGCAGTGCACCACCAAGAGAGAAATATTAATCGACGCACGTGCGCGAAAAACTCGGGGGAGCAACCCGTGAACTATATACTCTTCTCCCTCTCGCTCCGCCACTGAAGGATAATAGGTATACGGGCTACATTGATGTACACAACTCTCGTTTTATCTCGACCGCCTCTCCCGATGCACGCACACGCGACCGCGCAAGAAAAATCACCCTCTCCCGTAGTACTAATCGCACCGCGAACCATTAACTTCCGGGTCTGTACCCACGTAAATACATATATACATTATACACCGACGCGTGAAAAGCTTGAGAGTCAAGTGCCGCGTATAGCTGTGGTGGAACTGTCAAGAGGCGAGCCTGAGAAAGTTTCGAGTGTTACAATCCAAGGGAAGTTTTACACCAATGGTATAAGGGGTGACATGTGCCGCAGCGTTTCATAAACACAAGTGTGCCACTTGCGAACGTGCGAAAGTCCGTTTGCGGGAATCATCATCATCATCATCGGCCGTTTACCGATCTATGCGAGGGGGGAGGGTGGGTTCGGGTGTTTTCACGGAAGCAGGGGTGGTTAAAGTACCCGTACCTTTTTTTTTTTTTTTCTTTCCAGAGCAACATTGCCGAGTCATCTTCGACGTATTAACTGATACAGCACTGCATTCCGGTGCCGCATTGCAGCTAATTAGTGTGTGAAAAAAGTTTTGGGCCGCCTACACGTTATTTTTTTTTTTTTATTGCTTTGTTTGTTTTTCATCCCCCCCACCCTCCTCATGATCCACTCCTGCGGTCTATTAATAACCAATGAAAATTAACAACAGCTGGGTACCGTATATTATTTGGGGGGGGGGGGGGGGGGGGGTGGGGGGTTGGAAGCGAGAAAAAAAAAACACGAGCGTATTTTTTCTTTTTTTGGGAACGGAACAAAGATGTACTTACCACTGCGGGCGTCAAAAACGTGGATCAGCGAGAGAGAAAAATCAAAAGCCAAGTATATACGTGTGGAGGAAAAGAAAGGTGGAACGAGAATTGCCGGGCTTTCACAGCAGTTCGACTTCCGTCGAGTAGTTCCGCGCATTTCCTGCTCGCGCGAATGAAAAGCTCTTTTCTCCGGGGGTGGGGGGGGGGAAAGAAGAAGAGAAAGAAAACTCCTTCGCCCACCCCTCAAGTGTACTTACAGCGCAATAAAAGCCAGAGAAAGAAAAAATGTTTTTCTCCATTTAACACATAAATCTGGTAGGTTCGCGCGCGCACATATATATATATATATATACAAGTGTTACGGTCCATACGAGGATACCAGGAGGCGAAGGGGTGGGGCTTGAGATACGCGGTGGCATTGTTCCTAAGTGATGTAACTGCGTCTTATTGTATTTGTATCCTGTGTATCGCATTGTGTCAAGAGCCTCTCTCATTCTTCCCTCTCCGAGGCGTAAGTGGTTTCGGCGGAAGCCGCATTCAGGCGCTCGGATTGTGCGCGCCATACTTCCCCCCCACACACACACCACACCCACTCTACCCCACCCCCCTGCTTGTTTCTCGTTCTTATGTTGCTTTGCTGCTATGTGCTATACTCCGTTGTTGTTGTTAGCTCGATTTTCTCTCCTTACACCCCTCGCGACGTACGACTTCTACGCCCAGTAAGTATACGTATTAGGTATTATATAAACAGGTACGAGCAACGGCAGTTGTCAGCTCTTCTCGGTTTTTTTTTTTTTTTTTTTGTGGTGGACGTGAGCTGCAACGCAACACATACCTCCAAGGTCGTTTTTTAAAAATATAATTTTGATTTTCCATCGTCGAAATCCAACTTCCCGTCATCGTGACTATATTCGTGTTGTACATTGTGTAATCAAAGTATCAGAAGCTCGTACGTGTCAATTATGCCACCCATACGTGTCAGTCTCACTCGAGTGGGTATAACGAATCGACGACTCTCTGGCGCATTTTAATCATTCAGTTCATCGATTCAGAGTGAAAAGGAGAGGGTGGGGTGGGGGGAAGAAAAAAAAAAGAGAAACAGAGGGGCGCAGGCGTCGAATTAGCCCCCAAAGAGGGGTGCAGTCGACGGAGCAGCAATAAACGAGAGAGGGAGTCTGCGCCGCCCATGTGTATATATGCGCGAGTACCATGTACTCGAGCGTCGAGTCGAGTGGATGAACCTCGTTCGTTATGTATAGCCGCAAGCGCCCCGCAAAGTAGTGCGCGCGAGGGGGTGCCTCGAGAGCTCGCACATATATACAGGGGTCGGGGATCCGGTGTATACCGTTGGGGTGATAATGTCGCGAATTAGCGAGATTTCTCGCCCTTGCCCCTTTCTCTCTTTCGATTCTCGCTCTTCACGTGCTTCCTTTTTCATTTGTGGATATTATGTATACTATACACTGGAGAATTTTTTTTTTCTCTTACTCCCAAAAAATTCAGTGGTGCGCGGGGCACGGGTGCCCGGAAAATCAGTCGATAATAATTGTACATACAGAGCTAGAGCTTTGAATCACAGTATGATACGGTCGAGTGAATTTTTCATTCGGGTAACTACGAGCAAACATCAAAAATGGGGAAAACCACTCGACTCGAGCTTGATTCGTATACGCGGCATGAAAAGCACGATAAATCAGGGCGTTGATATTTCACGGCTAACGCGCATACACACTCACACACGGAGGAAAGAAAGAAAATCGGTTGACTATCGACGTAGGGTGTCTCGTCTCCCGCGCACAATTATTCCATCAATCACGATCGAGGGAGAGAGACGGTCAAGTGGCTAACTGTGTACAGCCGCTGGAGTCGAGTTCGCCACAGCGTAGGCTTAAAAACCGTGGCTAATCCGCGACGCCGAGCGATTTCTCCGATGCGCGTGTATATATACATACGTACAAGCGCTCTCTGGCGCCGCCCCCGAAAAACCTTTTAGGAAGATTTATGGTGCGCCAGTCTCTCCCCCCCCCCTCCCTTTTCTGATTCACCCGCGTGTGCATGCTTTATAGACGAGCCGCTCGCCGATTTAAATGATGCGCTCCCGTCGCCGATTGATTTCGCCGGCCCTTTTACGGCGCGCCTATATTATGTACGCGGGAGCGATATATTATTTCTCGCGTACATAGGCCCCACGGGTAGTCATAGGTATACCAGCCTCTCCTTCGGCAAAGTTTTCCCTCGCTCACTTCTGACCATCGCCATCGTTCGGCCGATTAAATTTATTACCACGTTTCGATTCGTTTCCTTGACCGTGTATATTTATATATGTAACATTGACTGCGTATGCTTTCTCCACACACGCGTAACTATAGAGCAACGGAGTAACGAGTTAGCTCGCGAGGAGGAAAAATTAATGATTCCATAAATATATGCGGCTTTTTGGGGTGCCCGCAAGTATGTAACACAATAACAGGGAATGCGCGCTGCGCTGCGGTTCATATCCGGCCTCGCCATTACGTATAATATACACCTGTGTCGGATGAACGATTATCTTTAAGCGCAAATTCAACCGCCGCCTCGCACACACGCGGAGGGTAATCATAATAATTCGGGGCGAGGGGGGGGGGAGAAGCATTGTAATATTTGAGCTCGTTATTTTAACGATTTCCTCAATGAGGACGCGGTGATGATACAATATACGGCACAATATAAATTATAAAATAAAGGGCATTTTATTATACGGCTGTAAAAACTCGACTAATTAGCTCTGAAACGTTGTAACTGTGCGAAAAGAAGGAGGGGGGGGGAGGAGGAAAAAGAAAATGCGCGTAAGAGCTCACACGTACGATTTACTTCCACAGCGTATATTTAATTGAACAAATACATTTTGGTAACTGTACTCGCAAGAAAAAAAAAAAAAAAAAAAAAATCCATTGGAGCAAAAGCATTAAAAAAAAACATTCACCTCTCCCCCCGCTTCCACCAAATAAAAGGCAAAAACCATGAATAAATTCCAAACCTTCGCCCAAGTGGTGCGAAGACAAGCGAGAAAGACACAGAGAGCTTTGCACGCGCTTTCCTTTCATGTGCGAACGAGGGCGTCGGCACGTATATATACATATACATATAGACACACGGTATATACAGCGCATCATCCCTCGCTACTGTGCTCATGGCGCACGTAATACACGTATACAAAACACACCCCAGTATTTATACATCTCCTTCTCCCTCGCATCGTAATGGATTTATTATTGCGCAAAATAAATTCTCGGCCCTTAATAACCCTAATAGAGTAACCATCGCACGGCAAACAAGATCAGAGCCACCCTCCTCTCTCTCACTTTGGCTATGTAAATATACGCGTGCCCGAGCAGCAATGGGGGGAACAACTGCTCGACTGACTTGTATGCAGAGACAAGAGGGGGAAAGGGAGCACACGCATACCGTAATTTGGTGCTGTGCTATATGGGTTATTATTGTAATGCGACAACTACCGACTCCCACTTGATAATACATTATGCATCGTTGCAAGGGAGAACAAGTGAAGAGAATCTCTTGCGAAAGGAGCATTGGTAATCTTTGTCCCTTCGTTAAACTCAACCCTACAGCAGCATAGAAATTCAACACCACCCAATAATAGTCACCTTTGCAAGCCATGCCGTAAATCTTCTTGTTCTCCAGCACGAGGTTCTCGAAGTCGTTTTGCAAAGCGATGGCCGCGGCTTGTACGGAATTGTGCCTCGACAAAGGCACCAGTAGCTTGGAGAGCACGTCGTCCATGGCCTCCTGCTTGATGCGTATCCTGCGCGCTTCGAGCATCCGGACGAACTGCACCTCCGGAGGCGTCAGGAATATCGTGGCCGAGCCCGACGAGCCGGCCCTCGCCGTCCGGCCGATCCTGTGCACGTAGTCTCGGGTCGAGGTTGGCCCCGTGTACTGGACCACTGTGTCGACCCTCGGAAGGTCAAGGCCGCGCGCCGCTACGTCCTGGAATTGAAAATGTGGGCGTTATATTAAGGTTGGAAGGGGCGAATAAGTTTTTTTTTTTTTTTTTTCAATCCGATCCATTCCCAAGTATACAATCAGGACAGATTTTTCTTGCTTTCGGGTTGTTCCTCTGACCGAGGTGTCTATATTTAATAGGCGTGTGGACTCGAGAGAGGGAGGGAGTCGCGAGCAAATATTTGAGGTGGAGTCCCCTTTACCACCTCAATTTGCAGGACAAACAGTATCGGGACAGAACTACCACCACCACCATGATATTATATACCCATATGTACACGTACAGCATCGATAAGAGGCCGTGGTACAGGCAAGTGTGGCAGCGGGAGCCAACTTAACAAATGTCTTACAAAAGGCGCTCGCCCCCGCGCGCCACTTTGTAATCCCGCTGGTATTGGTAATGGGCGACGGTGGTATGGGAGAGAGAGGCTCTCGCGGCGAGGAGTCGCCGCCGCTACGTGGACCCCAAGCGATGAACGTTTGCCCGATCGTCCCCCCCCCCTGCCCCTACTTTCTGCAGCACTCGACTGTAGCCTACTGCTGCTGTGCTGGCTCGCGGACGGTGATTTAGTGTACCAACTACTACTGCTCGACGGGAGAGGGTGAAACGGACGGGGGCCATATACCGCGGGGGTTTTATCGACTCGGATCCGTAGGAGGCCGATTCGCTCTCTTTCGGACTCTTCTCCTCCTCCTCTTGGGCCGTCGAATTATTCACTTTCGCGAAAACAAGCATTGGAATGTTTTTAACAACTAGTTTTTTTTTTATTTTTTGTTATTATTATTATTATTTATTATTATTTCAGTTAAAAATTATGTTTTTATCACGTAGATACAACACTGGTTGGCGTGTATAAAACCAATAGAGCCGACAAGCAAAATTTACTGGTGTTTGCAGTTAAATTTAAGGAAAAAGTAATTTTATTTTTTCTCGAAAACCCCAGCAAATTATCGTTCCGATAAAAACCAATTAAGCAAGGGGAGGAGAGGGAGCAAATGGTCCCGTTTAAGATCGCATCCGGTGTAGGCTAGAGCATCACCCCGGCACGATGTTATGGAGTACGAAAGCCACATGAGCCGTGTAACGAATGGCCCCTCAGAACATCTCACTCGGTCCATAGATCAAAAAGGGCCCCGTTCACCTCTCCAGGGGCCCCCAACTCGCTGTATAACTATATATGCGACAAAACCGATTGCTCCTCACTGCAACCGATGCACTCTTTCGCCGCTGGTATTAATAATACCTACGTATATATACACATATATATTTGTACCGGTGCAAGCGGCGCCGCTCGATAACGTGGGCGGCTGATGATGCCCTTTCGCTCTTTATCTCTCGTGCTTTTTGTTGCTTTTGCTGTTGCTGTAGTTGTTATGAGGCGTATAAACAATCGACCGAGAGCTCGTTTGGATACGAACGATTAGTTTTTTTTCCTCGGCAAGCATAGTATCTTTTTTCGATCGCTAATATGATACACAGGTATGCAATTTTTAGGAATTTTTTATACTCTACGTCGGACATTTTTCGTCTTTTTTTTGTGTTATTCTGATCGTTACATTCAAGTTATGAGTTTTATGTAATTCCAACTACCTACTACGCGAATTAAGATTTTTTATCGCTACATATGAATTCGATGAGCTTTTGGGCACAATTACGCGAGTTAACGTCCGAAAATAAGGTACTACGGCATTGCGAAATGGCACTAATTATTAAGGACATTAGCAAAAAAAAAAAAACAAAAAAAAACTGCTTCTAACGAGAAATTGTCGTTCGAAGTGAGGTTCGCGTGTTGTTGTTCGTCTCGTGCTGCGCGCGATCAAAAATCGGTCGACAAACGAAAAAAAAAAGATTCGATTCTGACTAATCGCATCGTATACGAGTGGAAAGAAAGAAAAAAATGAATGAAAAATGCTCTTTTATACATTATTTCAAAATTTCACGTCACGGGATGTAAAATCTATAAATTTTAATAAATTACTTACTGTACAATCACAATTCATTTGGAAGGAAATAATAATTTTGGTGAAAATGATGATACACCATCGGCTCTTGATGATTTGATCATAACACGACATTATTGAACTTCAAAGAAAATCACACGTTTAAAAAGTCTATGGAAGGAATAAAAAAAAGGGTCAAATGTCCCGTTCAAATTGTAGTTATTTTTAGTATAATTACAGAACAACTGACGAGGTCACACGAGAAAGAAAAAAAGCGTAGAACGAATTAATATATGTGGCACGACAAAAATACACCTAGATGAAATTAATGTGATTCATCGTCCCAAAGTCAATGACTAATAACAATAAGGTAAGAAAAGTCTGATTGCGAGTCTCTATAAATAAATAAGCACTGGTACCGCCTAATATTATCTTCTTTCACGATGAGTCAAGGATCACGTTTTGCTTCAATAAAGTCATTACGCGCCGGGCCATCAAACGCACACACGTTGCGTCATGACCCCCTACACTCTTCATACTATTATATATTAATGGAAGCTTGGGAACACCGATTTCCCATCCCCAAAGCTACGTAGCTCCTCCGCGAGGCCACATGTTTATTATATATATTTTTCTTCTTCTTCTTCTTCTATCGTGTTTTCACCAATTTCCATCGTATAACGTTGATGTCATTATTGCCGATGACAGATAGATATCTCCAACGCGATCGTCAGATGTAATGATGGACGAGAAATGGTTTGCGCGAGAGTAATTACATACACACAGATGTAGTCGAGAAAAGTGGTTGGAGTTGGACACGCTGAGAAGTTCTTGTCCCGTTTTTTCTTCTTCTTCTTTCTCGTGTATCAATTAAGTAAGTAACGACGGAGAGAGGTAATTCGTCGAACGAGCGCGGGGTTTTATTTCCCACGCGATTTTTCAGATAAAAAACACACACACACACCCGCCCGCTCGCGAGGAGACTGTTACATGTAATCGTTTTCTTTTAATTCGTAATTTGTCATCGACGAGGAGAGCCGATGGAGCGGCAAACGAAAAATAGAGCCGCCGCCGACGACGTGCCCTGTCATTAGGCAATGAACCAATCCACGTTATTTATTTGAGAAACGATTAATCGACTGTGTGTAATGACTGTCGAAAATTAGTAGTGGCACATGTACGAGCGAGATCAGTGCGGCCGACGGTTTTTTGAAGAAAATCGTTTCAACGGTACATGTAGTGGGACCTGTAAAACAAAACATTATCAAGCACACGCGATAACTGCTGCTCATTTTTGTTATTAACGATAAGGTTCCTCGAATTTCTTCTCTCGCGTAATCCAGAGATACCATACGAGCGTATTAATAACTCGTGGTTTGTACATTCGAAAGAAAAAAAATACGTACTTGGTTTGTCGCGAAAACCATCGTACAATCGGTTGTGTACATGCAAGTAGCTAAAAATAACAAAAAAGCAGCATAAAACTGTCGTCCGATCTTTTTCTATCGTCTTACGTGAATTAGGTATGCCACCAATGAAGCAAACGAGCACAAGCGTGCGAACTCTTAAGCAACAGCTCGTATCCATAATAAAAGTATTATTATACGCGATGGCTTAGAAAGTGTTATAATGCATAAATATTTTCATGCCTTTCCACACGCATACAAGCAAAGATTGTAATTATACTCATTATTACTAGCGTAAAAAAAAAGAGAGACTTTGCGTATAATTTCCCCGTTGCTTCGTAATTTTTTTTTTTTTCTTCCTCTCTGCTCCACTCGTTCGCGTTAACCTCCAGCCGCGCGCATTTGTATAATAGTGCGGAGAAGAGAGCACAGCAGCTCCCCGGCCGGGTAGGCTAATTTACAGCTCCGGTTGCTCCACCGTCGCTGACGTCCACGCTTACATCGCTTTCCACTCGCTCTCTTTTATTTATCCCTCCCCATCTCCAATTCTCTCTTTCTCTCTTTGCTTTGCGAATTCGCTTTCTCGAATTTTTTTTTTGTGTTTTTTCAAGAAAATAATGGAATTTTTTTATGATTTTCATGATTCAAAGCGGTATATGTTGTCCATTGACTCAGAAGTTTGATCGAACGTCCGATGACAGGGACATTTGAACTTACCGTGCACAGAAGGACGCCGCTCTTGGCCTGTCTGAAAGCCTTAAAAATTTCTGTTCTTTCCTTTTGCGTCATGCTCCCGTGCAATTTGTGAAATTCAACGTCAACCAGCGGATCTGAATCTTCGTCCTCCTCGTTTATCGGTTTCGTCAAGATGCCCGACAATACCTCTGCGTGGTAGTCGATCATGTCCTGAGTGGCCATGAAAACTATGATCTTGTGGTTTCCATGACTCTGGTGAACAAATGTTGAAAATTAAAATACCATCACTTACTTTGATACCTAATACAATAGGGTGTTATATATTATATTACCTGGCATTTTCCAGCAATGAAGGCGCTCAGAGTAACCATCCTTAATTTTGGTGGTGTTACAATGTAACTTTGTACGACACTTTGAGGTACGATTAAATCTTCATTTATTTCACTCATATTGCCACTGGTGGCTTCAATGTTGTCTTTGGCTGCATCGATGAAGACAGGATTTTTCATTGTCAGACCGGCAAGTTTTTCTACTGCATGAGTCAACGTTGCAGATAACAAGATAGTGTTTCGCTTTTTTAACGCATTAACATCACCAGTTTCTTCCGCGCTATTTTTCGGTGTATCTAAAGATTCCGAGGTACTTAATTTAGATTTGGTAACTGAATTACTATCGCTGTCAGCTCCGTTATTATCTTCGTCAGAAGTATCTTTCTTGCTTTTGGCTAATTTTTTATTCTTTGTAACATCTTGCTTACTTTCAGTATCAGGATAATGTTTCTTTGAAAACGATTTTCTTTCTTTAGACGAGTCATGTCTTTCACTTTGAGGTTCATTTTTCAGATCAGATTTCATATGGTGCCTCAACATCTGTAATGCATCATAGCTCTCATTTTTGTCCTGCCGTTTGTTGGTAAATTTGTCTTCTGTATCATCTTCCTGACTACTTTTATCTGCTTTCTCTTCATCTTCTTTGTTTTCATATTTTATATGACTATTAGAATCAGATTTGACATGCTCTTTCAACATTTTTAATGCATCATAGCCATAATTGTTAAATTCTGATGGAATGTTTTCAAGAGCCGTCACGATCCTGTAAGAGTATATTTATAATGGTCATAATATTACACAATTAATTCAATGTATAGTTAAAAATTGATAACATACTGAGAAATGTCTTTTTCATATCCCATGTCAAGCATTCTGTCTGCCTCATCCAAAACAAAATATTTTATACCATCGAGTCTTAGGGCTTTTGTGTGCCTAATGTGATCTAATAACCTTCCTGGTGTTGCTACTAAAACAATGCAACCTTTTCTTAATCTAGCTTTTTCAGCTTTTCTTTTCTCTCCACCAATCAAATAGCCTGGTACAATCCATGTGAAAGGCTGAAATTTAATGAAATGCATCAATCAACTTCTCTGAAAAGAAATTAAAAATGTTTTCTAAATTTACAACTTACTTTTATTAATTTCAAGAAGCATTCATATGTTTGGAGAGCCAGTTCTCTTGTAGGTACAATGACAAGAGCTTTGGTGCCACAATCTCTGGTCAGTTTTGGTCTGATAGCTTGCAAGCTTTCAATGATGGGTAAAGCATATGCAAGCGTTTTTCCAGACCCTGTTTGAGATCTTATTAAAACATCTTCTCCAGAGAGTATGACAGGGATAGATTTTTTCTGAACAGTTGTCATAGTTGTAATTTTCATGTTCTGTTCCAAATTAGATACTGCATAGGCATGAATGCCTAGTTCACTAAACTTTTCTATAGTGAATACTTTCTCGTTGACTGGCTTTACAAGCCTCTGGCCTATATTTGGAACTTCTGGGTTGTTGCCAAAGAGCGAGGATATCTTATTACTTGGTCGAGAATGTGAATTAGCTGCTTTGAAATCCTTTTTGACATTTTTATTTTTTTCAATTTTATCTTTCAGCTTTTTAAACTTTTTTCCAAGATTATTTGTTTTTTCAGAGTGTACAGCATCACTTTGAAAGGTAAATATTTTGTCAGTATTAACAGCTTTTTGATTACTTTCATCTGTATGAGAGATAGGTTTAAGCAATTTAGTGTCTGCTTCAAGTTTTTTGTCAGATGAACCGAATTTAAATATACTGGAAAGAGACTTTTTTGGCTCAGTGCCATCAACTTTTCTCTTTTTAGCCAAAATAGTTTGGCCAATACTCTCTGCAGTAGGCTTTGTGAATTTAACAAGAGGCTCACTCGACTCTTTATCTTTACTCTGAGAAAAGCTGACTTTTTTGTTATCATTAGCTTTTTTGTTTTTAATCAGATTGTTGAAATTAAAAGTAGGCTTCTTTAATATTGACTGCTCTGATGAGTTAGCTGATTGTTTAGCCACAATAGCAGCCAGATTTTTCTGTTTTATTCTCTTTTTGGCCCCAACTAGGAGGCTTTTCGAAGAGTCGATTGACTGTTTTTTCTGAAAAGGCTTTTTCACTGCACCAGTCTCCTTGACTCTCTTAATTTTAACGTTACTATTCTTAATCGTCGTGGACTGTTTTTAAAAAGACAAACAAGCATAGACACCCGAATAACGATTAAATAATACGTCAAACACATACTTAGTGAAACGAAAAGGGTATCATATGCATCCCTTACCTTTTTGCTGCTTTCATCCGCCCCTTTTATGTTCAGACAAATATCAATATCATCCATGACTGCCATTTTTTGCACAGTAACTATTTGTACACACGATCAACTATATTTTTTTCACCAAAAACTTATAAAAACCAATAATCACAGACACCATCAGCAGCAGTCCACAACTGAGGCTTAACCTCAAAAGCACGTGCAGACATATATATATAGCTAATCAAAACACAGCGCGCACGACACGATGCAGAAGAAACTCTGAAAAAAGGCTGCATTGCGCATGCGCTTGAAAAACCGGCGCAGATGTTCTCTCTCGTTTGAAAATTCATCATAGCTCTTATCAATATGTAAATTCGAGTCTTTATGCCCACACACGCGCATTTTGAGCTACACAAAAGAGCAACGAGCATTAATATCATTTACAATAAGTAACGGTAGAAAGAAAAGAACGAACGCGCGTCCTCGAGTGTTATTGGTGACGATGAGATCAATGTAATCGAGTAAACGCGTTCTTTATTCAATAGTTTGTACTCTTCCGGTACTCATCGATGGACAGTTGTTGTGTTAAAAAACGCCGTGCAATCGGGAGTCGAGACGATTCTTCGTTTATGTTTGCGACGCAGCGAAAATTTATTGTTAACACAAAACATTATTTGAAGAAAAAATACCTACATACGCTACATTTGCGGCAGAAGAAGGAAAGCAGCGACAATAAACGAGTTTAAACGGTAAACAGAGAGAACGAGAGGATCAGTGCTCCGTATATCCTCGCAAGTGTATAGTTGACCGTAGATTATTGTATTTACATTCGTATAAACGTACGTATTATCACACCCACATTAATTTACATCATCAGACGACGACGGTCGTGTACGACGATTTGTATTATAAATAGTTATCAAGCTGTGCCACTGTGGTGACTTTTCGCGCGTGACTCGTAGCATATACGTACAGTACGTACAGTGTGTATATTATTATTACGTGGGGTACTCGATAACAGTTGTGTATAAGAATAAGGTATAGCGATTTTACTTAAAGTCAAGTTCTTTTAAAATACAGTGCCCGGTGACGATTGCTCGTTAATTAACGAGTCACTATATTGTATATATATATATTTATGTAAACGCTGATTAAAGTAGTTATGACTTTAGCGCGACTTTAATTTTCACATGAACAGAACAATTAATAAGCATAACAGAGAAAATGTGTTGCATGAGTTTGACTCTGGCTGTGAAGCTGATTGGGACTTATGGAATGGTGAGTATTGCAAGATCAAGTTACGGTTGGATGTTTCAATTCAATTTCACAAAGGACATTTTTCTTTGGATTTTCAGTCCCTCTCGATCCTAATGATAAATATGCTTATAAGCAACTTTTTCTCGAGCCGGAAGGAAGATAAGTTAATCATAGCCCTCGAGTCGTGGATGCTTCTCGGATTCAACTGGACTTTTGTCATAAAGAGCATGAAAGTCGTCGAGACAGGTACATACTTATGTGACTCAAAAAATTAAAAAAAAAGAGGTTAAAAACGATGAGAAATCAAACAAACGTATTTTACAGCCCGCATGCTGTTGATTTGCGTGCTTATCTACTCGTCTCTCTTTCTCGTTGCCAATGCTCTCATGACCTTGGGCTCTCTTTTGGTAAGTGTGACACACAAATATTTATTCACCGGAGCTTGGCAAACTGTACGAAAATCCAAATGATCCCCCTGTTGCTTTGACAATCAGTCGTTCGCACTTTAATCGAGCTCTGTTTGTGATGCTTTTAACATTTTTTTCTTAATATTAAGTAAATGAAAGAATAAAAGCCAAACTAGTCAATATTTTTTTGTTTTCAGAAAAAACCAGACTATCTCCTGCCGTGGATGTACATGCAGATGATCAGCATAATCGACCAAACGATTTCACTTGCTGTGCAATTGAGCAGCAACGATGCACCGGACAAATGGGGCTTGTACTTACCTGCCTGCAGTATTTATTTAGGTGAGTTTGGATTTTGGATTTTCATCGAGTATTACGTAGAAATTCAAAGAAACTACAATTATCGCGTTTTATCTTTGCTTGCGCGAACAGAATCATAAATCAGAGTTTTTATCAAGAATCTCGCTTTTCCTGTTTATCACGCGACAAAGTAGTGCGCAACTTCACTCTTAAATATGGAGGAATGAAAACTACACATACGTATAATATATGATTACATGAAATGTAAAAAAAATTGATTTCTTCGTCACAGTACTTAGTTCATACTTTTGGATGTTGGTTTCATCGGCGCGACAAGAGTACATGAACGAGCTCGAAAGCGAAAGCAGAGGAAGAACAAGTACTATGGTAACCTCGTCGCCGGCCGGGCGTAGCTTGAGAGACTCCAATGTACCCAAAACACCTTCGTACCTGTCTTGTGATATCGCCTACGTTTTCGACCACCCTCAGCCTATGATACGACCCCGCAATCATGAGGTTGTCTGATCTATAGAAGCTGAAACAAAAAAAAACAAAAAAACGATAAACTTTTGCGTTTCGGTCGTACTTATTTTTTATTATACGTAAGGTCGTTACCATACTGTAAATATACCTATAGGCTAGTAACAAAGCGGAATAATTCTGAACTGACTGATAGCATAAAAGCGAGGATATTTCCGATCCACATCATTTTCGGCATATGTGTATATTATTGATATGTATATATTTAATAAGTCTTGCATAATTATATACCTACTTTTTTTTCAATATGAAAGTTTATTTATTATAAACAAAATTAACAACTAATAGACCCACTTGAGTTTCACTAAAATAATAATCTGTGCGGCACACATATGTAATGAAGATACGGACTAAGCAACGTATTATCGACCCAAAAAAAAAGAGCATCAGAGTCACGTAAACTACGTATCAACGATACAGTGAATATTGAATGAGCCAATCAGTGTTTGGACGAAAATTCAGAAACTTGTATCTGGAACCACTTTGCGATCGAAAAAGGTACCTACACAGAGGGCTATCGTTCATTCATTATTAATCCAAACCTACTCCCGTACCAATCACTTATGTATCCCGTAAATCGGCATTGCTTCCAAGTCCTTACGGATTCCCTTCTCTCTCTCTCTCTCTCTTTCAACCTAATATTTCATATACCCACAAAAAGGAACATCAGCAACGACACGAGACACATGTGACGGGCGATCGATCTGCCGATAGCCACTTTTTATTCTGGACGTATTTTATTCTTTAAAAAGCATCTCCCACGGGATCGGCCGATAATTCGCCTCCTCTTAAGCTGCAACTACATCACCGATATAAATCAGTCTAGTCGTTCTGGCGCTAATACGCAGGAAAAAGGGAAAAACATGGCCCAGAGGGTGGAGAGAGAAAAGGGTAGGTATATTACGTGGGTTGGGGTGCTCTAACGTCAAAATACGCTTTAAAACTTTTCCCGGATTTCAATCGCCCGATAGCTGCTCGCATATTCCCCCAGGACGAAGCTGGAGCGACTAAAGGGATTCTTATTTCTCTCTCTCTCTCTCTCTCTCTTTTATTTTATTTTTTTTACTTTTATGCTCGAGAGATGCAATGGAGGAGGGAGCAAGAGGGCGAGCAGTAAGTACGGCGATTTGTTAGGAAATTACCCCGACTTCCGTACTTTGGCTCTACCCGGCTCGGAATGGACTCGTGACTGGTAAAAGCGAGGCTGGGCCCAACATTTGACGTTTGCGAATGACAAAATGAACCAACTTTTATTATTTGACGTGAATCCGATCGACGAGCCGTTGGGGCTGCTGTTTTAATATCCCCTCGTGAATCCAGAATTTACGTATAGGCAACTCTGGTAAAAAAAGAAAAGGAAAAGAAAAAAAAAAAAGGTAGAGCCAGAAAACACAAATTATTACCTCATCAAGCCAATTCCGAGTGCAAAACTGTGACGATCAAAGCACCCCTTCTCTCTACTTCCTCCTCTTTCAAGAAGCGGAGGAAAGAAAATTCCCTCGCCTCCCGAACCCCGGGTGGAATGAGATTTACCATTGGCGCGTGGGTGGTGAAGGAGACTAGGAAAGGGAAGGAAAGAGCCAAGTTAGTTTTATTTTACAATCCATCGGGTCCGACGTCAACGGGGCGCGGAGCGTCTCCCGGCTGTCAACTATAGTGTTTTTAAAACTTTGCGACAGCCTACAAATTGGCTCTCGGCTCTTTTTCCTTTTTTTCTGCTAAAAGCCGCGCAGCCACCGCCAACCAACCGAGCACTTCTTTCTCGATTTTCACCCTGTATTTTTTTTTTCTATCGTATACGTGGTGGTGGGTTCGAGGGTCACGAGGAGCAATGAAACTTGTATATCTGGATCCAAGCGATGATCGGTCCTTGCGCATACAAAATACAAGGGAGTGATGCAATCGTATCTGTTTTCGCGCAGGATTAATTTATAATTTTCGCCCGCAATTTACGGAGAAGGTGATGAATTACCGGCGTCGCTGGGAATCAATACAAGCGCGTATATGGGAGTCGGGGGAGTGTAATTATATTAATCGATTTCGCATTAATTGTTGGCCACGGCGAGCGAGCTAAGTGGGATGTGGTGTTGCTCTCTTCGGCCGTCATAGGTCGGAGCGAAGATTAATTGCCCTCAGCCATCACCGACTCGTGCTTGCAAGCGTGTCGTGTACGAGCGAGAGTGTCAACCCTTTTCTCTGCCAAGGCTCCTGATTATTATTCAAGCTAACTTGGAAACAACAAAAATTTACTTTTTTTTTTCTCTGGTAATCGTCACGAATTGGCTTTCACACCAGAGTTGAAACCTCGACCCTCTGTATATATATATACCGATCAAGAAAATCAGAGGATTTGGAAACTGTATGTATAAAAAAAAAGGAGCTTCGCTCGGCAAAAGTTGCGCTCGAGTAGATAGAGAAAAAAAGGAGGTATAGCACAAGTGCGAGCGAAAGAGGGACAGTCGATTTGGCATCACTTTTCCCGCGCGGACTGATTTTATCGATCCACCGGCGACTGACTCTCCCCGGAGTAGTCGGGACTCCGGAACTGAACGGCCCATAAAGCTAACCAATGCTAAAATACGCGCGCGCGTCCGATTGTATTTTCCCTTCGTGCGCGCACAGCTCCGATTGAAAAAAAAAAAAAAAAAAAAAAAAAAAAAAAAAAAAACGGATGGCCGGAATCGGCTATAAACGCGCGACCGAGCCTAATTTGTACGTCGGGCCATTGTGACGCGTCCGCACTTTTTTTTTCCCCTCCCTCGTGTCTGCTGATGCTGTGGCCACCCCGGCATCAGGAAACTGCCTGTAATGGTCGTCTAAAAGGTCAACTTATACGCGCACGACCATTTAAATGTATATGCACAAAACAGGCTTTAGATTCGCTTTTTTGCCACTGCACGTCATGGCCGTGTATACATAGATTGTACACGCTCTGACGAATCTTTTGGTATTATATCATCAGCAGTATCAAATGATCGTTTATGTACACTTTTTTTTCTTCTTTTCATCAAACGACGTAATAGTATATACTTTTGTCCCCCATCGGTACGTGGTAACTTGTACAACTCGACATATTTTTTACGCGAAAGTTCGCACACGTACCCACGAGCACCCACAGGAGAGATACCACGAGGCTTTCCTCGCTCGGAAAGTTTGGAAAAGCAGAAGCTATACATCCCAAAAGGAGCCCATCTCTGTCGCGTGTTCTTTGCTCGCTCCCTTGCCAACCGACTCGAAAACTCCACCACCATTACCGTCGAGAGGAGAGACGCTCTTCGTACACCCGAGTCCGCATAAAATATGGACCTTGGCCATTTGCTCGCTTCTTCTTCCTCCTCCTCCTGCCCCGATCGCATAAATAACTCCGCTAGAGCTGTATGAGGAAAAATGGCGCTTTGCCCTAATCGGACAATACATATATACATCCGAACTCTCGAGATTACATAGACTGTATGAATTGTTTTAATATATATTTTAAACTCTATCAGAAAGAAGCTGATATAAACAGTGCAGTGAAACAGATTTTCGATTTTTCGCCGACTCACTTGACCCTGTGTGTCAACGAAGGCGGGAACGGAACAATCGGGGTACAGGAAAAAAAGCGCAGTGGCTCCCTGAATTTGCTTTCCCAAATTTATAGAGAAGATGAACAAAAGGAGGGGTGGAAGGGGGGGGCAGTATTAGCGGCACGTGCCGTCGATCGGATGCATTACACGGGGGTGAGTTTCTTTTGGCCCGAATTTGCACGACAGACCCATAGGAGAGGTTTGTATGTATACACACATGTAGCGTTCCACAATGCCAGAGAGATTTAACAGTACATTGAGCTATCGGCCTCGCCTGTGTACATGTATACAGTTGACGCACCGATCGGTCATTCGGAAGAGGAAAATCGTGTACCGAATGTATACGCGTGCCGGTTGGACCGTGTAGTGTACGGTAGTGAATGTTTGACGGAAGTGGACGCAATAATGGGAAATTTGATGGAAAATGCGGAGAAGGGCGCGTCGGCGATGGATGGCACGGAGCTATTACGGACAACGTGTGAGAAAATGACTGTGGGCGATTCGTCGCGGCGCGGCTAATCGATTGAGAATACGAGTGTATCAGAGCGCTTTTTTACCTTTTTTTTTTTCAACCATCGCGTGTATATACGTCAACATTTTTTTTTACTTTTTGATTGTTTGATTGTTTGCGACAGTTGTGATTTCTTTTCTAAACCTCTCAAAAGCATCCCTCTGTGAACTGAAGAGCATAAAAACTTGAACTGGATTTGAAAACAGTGTTATAATGACCATTTACGTGACGCAAAGACTTGAGTGTGGTTTAATGAATGAAAGTTTGACCATATTTCAACAGGTTCACGTTTCTCTCTTATAAACATTGTATTATTTTATTGTTCAAATAGTATATTTTAAAATTAAATATTTATGATTGAAAGCCCGATTCATCGTATAGTTATAAGATATTTTTTTGGACATATTATGATGTATCACTATGTTTAAAACGCTTTAATTGCACAATTTTAATTAATAATTAAAAAAAAAAAATTCACAATTACTGACCAAAATCATTTTCGTCACTTCAAAGGATCATGGCTGTTATATCTCGCGCTGCCATTTATATGCATCAGATACGTGCGGGTTTTGAAACCTTATTATCTATCTTACGTGACGGACATTCTACACACCAACTGTGCAATGTCAACAAATGCTATTGTAATAAGCAAGTAATAGTTTTGATCCACGCTGCGAAAATAAAATGATTCATGTACACGCGTTTGACAAATCAACGCGAGTATAAAATTAAAATCGAGTTTGGACGAGTTTGGATGTACATTTAAGATTGAAACTCATGAAAGCAATGTACTTATTGGTGTAAAGTAAATGCATTTATAGTCATAGGTACACCTAATTATTTGCTCATCGGGTGTAAACTCAAGTCGAGTATATAGACAGAGAGGGAACAGTATGCAATATCTAATAACAAACACTGCACTGACAGACGGACGGAAGGACATAAAGCGCCCGACGCGCGCGATTCCCATGTATACCTACTCGCATAACTGCCTTTTCATAATCACCGTATCATTACGAGAGTGCACGAACATGTATTGTATACCCACGCATACGTAGCCAGCCAACTGCGAAGAAATAAATACCTTCTAATAAATTTAATAACCTTCCGGTCCACATATTTTGCGCAAAGCAT